ATATATATATATATATATATATATATATATATATATATATATATATATATATATATATATATATATATATATATATATATATATATATATATATATATATATATATATATATATATATATATATATATATATATATATATATATATATATATATATATATATATATATATATATATATATATATATATATATATATATATATATATATATATATATATATATATATATATATATATATATATATATATATATATATATATATATATATATATATATATAATTATTAAAGCTGAACACACGCACGTAGTATCGTTAAAATTATTAGTAGTAGGATAGTTGTGACTGCAACACAGCAGAAATCGTCACTCTTTTTATTCAATTTGAAAATAGCAACTGTTGTAATAGATTAATAAAATTTACGTTAACAATATTACTTACGTTTTATAATCTATTTGATACATCATTACCATTTTCTTTACCATTTGCAATTCGCGATCCAAATTGGAAAGCTCTTTTAGGAAAGTTAGCTGTATATTGAAAACCAATCTTGCAGGCTAACAAACGTAATAATAATTTATCTCCCAATCCACTCGGCATTTTTTCAGTCGGATAACATCTATCAATAGTTATACATATACTCTCATTCGTAGTAATCCATAAATTGCTTATCATCATTTAAATTTACCTGTCCCATGGTTTTATATGCTGCACATATTTCACCAGATTTTCGTCAAGATACGGCAAACGGGATTGTTTTCCATGATCAGAAACAATCCGGTTGTCCCGACCTAAATTTCTTTCAGAAATCCTAGTCAATTCGACATTTAGTTCTTGTATCAGCGCATCCCATCCTTTATGCTTCAATATAGTTCTATGTCTCATGTATCCACCAAATAATTCGTCCGCCCCTATGCCTAAAAGTAATATCCTGCATGGCGATTCGTATATTTCATTGGCTGGATAAAGGACACCTTTTGCTCGACTTGCAAACCACATAGCACATCCTAGACTCTCATCCAGAATTGTACACAATGGATGCAATAAATCACAAATTCGTGACGCGCGATACAGTTGCAATTCCATTTGCGTGATATTACACTGAAATAAGCATTGCAATTAGAAAAATAATTCCTCGAATTCTTTCTATTTTTTTCTTTCGAAAAGATTTTGAGAGAAATATTTCGAACATAAAAACTGTACTTCTATAAAATTCCATTTCCTGTTAGGATAAATTCGCAACAATTCGGAATATGTTTGTCGTCCCGTTTTTCTGTCTGGCACATCATATTTCTGCGTTACATTCCCCTTTTCATTGTTCGACATATGACTCATGCTCTGATTTTTGCTTTCCAGTCTTTCAAATGCCACATTAATGAGATCGATACTTTCATCTTCTGGAACGTATTTGTGAGCAATTGCTGCTAAAATTGCAGAGTCTAGGCCACCAGAAAACAATACACCGATTTTGGAATGAGCACAAGTAACATTTTCGCCGTTTAATACTAATTTTATGCATTTCTTGCAATAATTTGGTTTTTTCTTTATTCTAATTTTCACAGACTGATGTAATAGTTCCATTAAACATTCGACTCTTTCATTTACCTCCTGATTTTTCAACAGATATTGCAATATCTCATTAAAATCTTTGCTACATGGTACATTTTCTAGATATTCCACATCCTTTGGATTTGGATGCAGATGCAAATTCGTCAGTGCTGACGAACAAGTATTCAATATAGTTTCTTTAATATCAATATCTACATTTAAATTTGTTTCTAATACTTCAATAACATCCGTAAACTTCAAATCAGGTTCTTTCCATGGATAACATGCTAAATTTATCTGTGACATATTTAAATTCATTACAAAAATACCTATAGCCGGTATTTCTACAATTCCTCTTATTTTTTTATTTGCAACCGAAGTTAAAGTTAATGAATTACTTTTGTTGTCTACTTTTAAAAGTAAACTGTGTCGTCCAATAATATCTCGTCCAAAGTATAACATATTGCTCGATTTTTGATAATATACTAAACAATAAGGACCTTCAATTTTCCGAAGTACAGACATGATATCTGTAGTAGATTGTAATTCAGTCAATATGATATTTGTATCG